CTTCCACCTCCTCCCCACCCCGCCCCTTACTTTTCATGCTGTTGGTAGTGCAGCTGGTGGGGGGGTCCTGGCGCCATGTCCTGCCCACTGGGCAATGGAGGTGGCTCCTGCCAGTGCCAGTCTAGCCATGCTGAAGCCCTGTGGCCAGTGGGTGTGCAAATCTGGGGAGGCATGTGTCTCTCTGCCCCTGCCCCACACACTAGGGCCTAGGGATGGGCAGTGGATTGAGTTGGGGGCACCAGCAGGGGATGTTGTGGGGTCTGGGTTCAGAAGTGAGTAGCAGCAGCAGGGTCAGGGATCTGTAGGTAGAGAGTGAGGAGCACAAGAAGGGCAAGGGGGTTGTGAGTTGGGAGTAAGGGGCACTGGCAGGAGAAGGGAGTTGAGGGTTGGGAGTGAGGGGCACCAGCGGGGTTGGGGGTGGGGGCTGCAGCTTGGGACTACAGGGCAACAGCATGGGTAGGGTGAGGGCACTGGCATATCAGAGCTGGTCAGCACCAAAAAGCAGTAGTGGGGACAGCCACAGCTGGACCTGGGTCCTGGTGAGTGAAGGGGGAGCTCTGATTTTCCAAGATAAAAAAAACTAAAATCAAATGCTAAAATATATAGGTATTTAGAATTGCATTGTTTTTAAGTAACGGTTTAATGCACACTAAAATAGCCTACTGTTCATTAAAGCGCACATGTAGATGTGCCTAGTGCCTTTAAAATATTTCAGATGGAGAAAATACAAAGTCTAAAATTGTATTATTATAATTATTAGCTTATATTATGTTAGTCATTTAGTCTGAACACTATACTTTGGGTGTTTAGTCATGTTGATCTAACATTAAAACTGAAAGAATACTTATTTAATGTATTCCTCACTAATTAAATTTTTCCATTTCACTTGGCTTGCATAGTGAAACTAATTGCCTGGTTCTAGTCAGTTTTCTTTGTTGTTGTCATATCTAATAGTGTTCTAGGGTTGGGGTTCTAAATTCTTTAAAGTAATTCAGTGAAATTTCAAGTAACACTCAAAAATCTATGTTGTTTTTTTGTAATGCCTTTTTTAATACAAAACATCTTATATTTTGGGTCTTGGAATCTTGAGTGTTTCACTTGAAATGAACACATGCTTCCAGCTGTTCTTTAATATATTACAATATAGTTGCACACAGGGAAACACATGTATGGAAAATTTTGTTAAAAGGACATGATCAAAGTTGCAGAATTCAATACTTAGATGTAGGAAAGGCCAGAATTAGGTTTGCACAGCCTTGGTAAACTTGTTGGCCCTTTGTGCTTATGCACTGTGATAGTTGCATACTTTTATTTTCTGTAGTAAGTGCATAGGATGGTCTGACTTGGGGATGAATCAGAGTTGTGAAGTGAAGGACCTTGCCTTATTTGTTGCCTAAGTTGGAAGGTGTGCAATGAGTGAGACATGGAGTGCAGAAAGAAAAGATGGGTTCTGTTTCTGCCTTAGCCACAATTTCTTTATGATGCTGGCAAGTCACTTGAATCAGAATTTTCAAAGTTTGGTGACTAATTGTGTAATTGATTTTCAGAATGCTTAGTTTGTACACAAGAGGCTGATTTGCAAAGGTACTGAAATGCGATGCCTAAAGCTGAAGTTAATGGCAGCTGTGCTTTGAACCCATGAAGTGCTATAGAATGCTTTGTGCTCAGAAAATTTAGGCCCTGAATGTCTTTGATTGGGCATCTAAAGTTAATGGAAGCTTTTGACCTTAATCTCTTTGTACTTCAGGTGTCTGTCTATAAATGGGGATAAGGCTCCCTTATTTAACTTGGATATTGTGGCAATAAATTCATTAACGTTTGTGAAACACAAACCTCCCAACATTATCATAATGAACACTATGAGGAAGTTGATAACTCTGTCTTCAGAATAAGAACTGAATAGTGTGCATACCATACAACAAGGAAAAAATATTGACTAGTTACCATTCAGCTTATCATCATGCATTGTGAAAAAAATAGCTTATAACTGTCTTGGACGGCCGGAGCCGACTCAAGATGATTCAAATATCACTCGGTAGTTTGGGCGGGCTGGTGAATGGAGAGGCAGACATAGCTTATTGGTTGCAAAAACTTTACTTACGCCACTTGTAGCCGCGACGCAGGTGGTCCGGTCACTTGAACAACTATGTGAGTTGCTCCAGCTGGCAAGGCTCAGGCCAGCTAATCCGTCCACAAATTAAGCCGGCAGGGAAAGGGTACGTCGAGGATTGTGCTCGGCGACGGGGAGAAGAATCAATAGGTGATCAGTCTATCGATCAGCTCAGCCGCAAATCAGATCTCTTTAGAGGCACTCTGCAGCGTGCTCAAAGTTCTCCGACTTGGGTGGAAGTCGCATGAAATTTTAAACGGCTAGCAAGTCAATTACTAGCCGCCACGTAGGAATAATTTAGATCTGGCCAATAGCGGAACACAAATTTGCATTCAGATGGCGGGAACTCTCTTGCACCGAGGTTTTTCTGTTGCAACAAAAACCTTTTGCTGTGCAAGAGGCTCTTGTGGCGGGAAAATTCCAT